AGGGCGAAGGCGGGAGGGAGAGGGGCGGGCGGGGACGTGGGGCCAGGGGAGCAGGGGGAACTTGGGTGCTGAGGAAGGGGGACCAGAGGGACAGGGACTAGAGGTGCTGGGGAGACGAGAGGGCTCGGGGGCTGCCAAGGAGGGGTCCTGGAGGGACAAAGTGGGGTGGGGGGCGGACACAGGAAATCTGCAGAGAGAAGGGGAGAGTGCGTATGAGAATGGATTAAAAGACAGGAAAGAGGAAGGAAATGTGAAGGGGGAAATGAGGGTTTGGGAAATGAGAGGGACGTGAAGTAAAGGGACAGAGGACACAAGGGACAAGAGAGGCGAGAATCAGACAGTCGAAAGGGAATTGATGGGAGTGAGTGACCAGAGGTGAGGGATGAGGGGGCACTGGCCACTGGAGGTGTGGACGGAGATGCCACGGCAGGGGGCAGAAGAAATTTGCAAGTGCGGTAAGAGTTCAGGAGACTGGAGGCAGAAGGAGGGTGCTGGTGGAGAAAGCAGAGGGGCTGCCTGTGAGAGGGAAAGCCAGGCAGGGTGTGCAGTAGAGGCTGGGCACAAGAGGCAGAGAGGCCGGAGGTGGAGCAAACCGAAGGCACTTTGGTGCAGGGCTCTCTCCAGTAGCTGGGACCACTCTGTACTTTCTTCGGATCAAGTGCAGGAGAAAGCCAGGAGTGACTAATGATAGAATACCGCCTATGGAGTGTGAGCTCGTCCCGTGAGTGTGAATGGGTGTTCAGGGGATGGCGACTTGGGGATGGTGCGGTCAGGAAAATGTAGCTCACCACTTTTCCTGCCATCTCCTGAGAAGCCACACTTCGCTGTTTCTTCAATTCTTGGGTTTGACGGTGCAGTAACTTCTCAGCCAAGGAATTGAGCTTACATTCTGCCTGTCTCCTTGCATGTTTTGCTTTGGTTCTAATGATTACTGTTAAATGAATCACAACTAACCCCACTCCCCCAGTTGGCCCAGTTGATTCAGGAGTTCTTCATGGTCTTGGCTGGGAGGTACCCTTTCTCCTTTCCTACTGGACATTGTGTTCAGGTAATGAGATCTCTAACCATAAACTGAAGAGCAAGGCAGAGGTGCTTTTAAGCTGCCTGCAGAAGTGACTTTAACGCCCTTTCCCTTGTTCAGTAGCTGCAGTTAATTAAGTTCGTGGTCATCGGTGATGTTCGCGGCCCCTACTAGTATAGTTAGGGATCTTTCAAATGAGTCCTCCAGCTTCTATCTCACCATGAATTTCTGGGTTGGAAATAATAGGGAGCTCATGCTTTGGTAATAAGTGTTTAAATATTTGTGTTTTATGGACAAATGATCTTTTTTTAAAAAAAAATATTTGGATATAGAGCATTTTTAAGTATTAAGAAAGGCTATAGTTTGTTTCATGCCAGCCTCTTTCATAAGGATTGAATGGTTTAAAACCTCCTGGGTGTTATGACGTCTGGGCTTAGGGAAGTTTGAGTTGCAAGTTCTTGGCAGTCAGTCTTGAGTGGGACTTTTTCTTTTCTGAGGAAGCAGATTTTAAATGTCATCTCTCAAGTGTATTCCCGAGAGATTTAGTGGGTGCTGGTACAGCAACTGAAGGGCAGTGATTTTTGACGCTGGTGCTAATTTCAAAAGCCCAAGTAATTCCTTTCCATTGTTGAATGCATACTGCAGGACAGATGTTCAAGGACAGTGTCTAACAAGTAGAGTGGGTGGACTTTTTGTCCCTTCTGTGAGTGACCCTTAAGGATCCTCTTGCCCTGAAAATGAATGAATCTCACTGATGCTATTTCTTGAATAACTTTTTGCTTGATTTTAACGCTGTTATTAGTTTTTTCTTAATTTTGTCCCATGTATCCCGTAAGGGTGTCTGCTGCTTTTTAAAATAGTAGCTTTTTAAAATTATGTTTCACTCTAAAGGATTAGAATCTCTTTTGAGTGGATTTTTTTAAAGTGATTGTAATGAGGTTCTTTGGAGGGCTGCAGCTATTAAGGCATGAAAACCAGTGTCCCGAGACGGTTTTGAATAGGAGATGGATGTTACACGGGGTACATCTCATTGTGAGATTTTGGTCGTTTCTGTGGCTGTGGTAAAAACGAAGCTGTGAGCTGTGTCTTCAGTTGACGTGGAGGAGGGGAAGTCCCATGCCTCTTATTCAGCCCCAGAACACCTACAGGAAGTGGTAGCACACTGTCTTCAAACAGCAGAATTTATATACCTGAAACCTAATGCTTCAGAGTTGAAACTAAGCTGGGAAAATAAGAGGAGCGTTAACACTACTGTATGAAAAGTTCCACAGACTGACTGTAAATATGGACTTGGGGTTCACAGCTGTTCCAGTAATACCCACTCCCCCAAGCTCCTCACCCCATCCCCAGGTGTTGAGATGACAGTCGGTGGTCCCTCTCTTCCCCAGTCAGTATTGCTTCTTGAAGTGTCTAAGTGTATAGTCAAACTGGGGTTTGGCCAGTTCTGCCACAGCATTGCTGACAAAATTTGATAAGCTGCATGTCACAGGAAGAATTCATTTCTCAATGCCTGGGGTGTGTGTGTGTGTGTGTGTTCTGATAGATACGTACGCGTATCTGTTCCTTGCTGTGAAGTTTCAAGGCTTCATTTTGTTTTGTCAAAGTTGAAGAAGTTTTTCTAGTAAGAATCTGCCATGTGGACATTGTTTTCATGGCGCTCTGTCATGAAAGGAAGGAGACCGTTAGGCGTTTTGGTTCTAGGTACAGTTGTTTCCTGGATACCTTCTTCTTACTTTTCTGTCTTCGCTGATTTCCTTGGCCCCCACATGTCCTCTGTGCTCTTTGGGGTGGTGGATAGATTTTTTTTTTTTTTTCATCTGACTCACTGGTAGTATTTGTCAACTGTGGAGTAGGGATATTTGATTTGTTTCTAATTGTAGGCCCAGTTGCCTAGGTCCAATTAGCCTTTAGTTCAAATGTTGAAAATTGATTTTTTTAAAAAATTTGCCAAAGGGCACATGTACCTGTCAGAGACAGTGAGAAGAAAAAAACATCTTCCAGGAGGAATGGTCACACTGTAATCCCTTCTCCATTTCTCCCTCCTTTTGGAATTTTTAGGCATGCAAGCATATGAGCCCAGCGTGTTTTTCAAGCCATGAGTTGTGGAGTCTTGTTTTCAAGATTCTTATGTGATCAGCCATGTGGGATTCAGCAGCCTTAACCACCAGGCTATGACTGGCCTGAATATTGAAAATATTTTGATTGCCATTAAAACTCTTACGTAGTCATAATTAATATTTAATTAAATATCTATAAAATCAATCATTAACACAGCTAGGAGTGGTAATCCAGTTGATTATGAATTATATTTCCTATGGGATGTGGGTCAATTTTAATATTGATACGAGGGCATTCGAACATCTTGAAATGGCTCTGTACCAAACAAGGTGTTGGTAGAATGAAAAGAAAAGAGAGAACCCAGCCCCATCCTCTAACAGAACAATCTAAGCTTCCCTTTGCCATCTCTCCTCTGCCCTACCCCCTTCTTCCTGTTCGGTATGTCCTGAGCTGTTTTATTATTTAGTATAGTCATAGTTTGACAACAGAAGGAGTTTTAGAAATGATCTGCTTTATGTTCCCACCCCCATTTATATGAAAAAATAACGGTTTGGTTGATACCCTCAAATTCACACAGCTGGTTTCAGCACAGCCCCTTGTGAAACCCCAAATCCCAGTGTGTGTTACTTTTCACAATTGAGCTGCTGCTATTTTTGACCAGTATAATGATCTCCATAAATTCAAGTCACCACGCCTTCCAGGGAGGAATTAGATTTTGCACATACATCTTTATGTGAGGAATGCTAAGATGTTCCCACTTTGATTAGCCAAGTCTGCTCAGGGAAATAGTAAATGTGAATGCCATGACTCAGAGTCCTATAGGACCAAGATAACTCAGCACAGAGCTGTCCTTTGCCCTTTCTTTCTGTGTCTGTAGTTTCGGGTTGGGAGATCAAAGTGCATCCTATCATTAAAATGCTTTGCACGTGCAAAACAACTAATGAAATTATATTAATAACAGTGTGTTGGTAATTGTTGCAGCTTTGTCCCATCAGTGCACTTTTTAGTTGTTTCATTCTGTAACATTGTGTGCTTTTCTTGGCTTCACTTTCCTTAAAATCAGGGGTTAGCACACTGCAGCCCATAGGCCAAATGTGGCCTGTAACCTGTTTTCGTGGCGTCCGCAAGCTAAGAATGGATTTTACTTTTTTTTTTTTTTTTAATCACTAGAGGGCATATGTGCTGGCTAGGGAGAGACAGAGAGTGGGAGAGGGAGAGGGAGAAAGCACCTCCCAATGGGGTGTGGCCATGCCACAATCCTGTCTCCATTTCTCACTCCTTTTAGGATTTGGGTACACATGCACACAATCTATAAAATACATATGTATATTTTAGGTTTTTGCAGTAGGGTATGGGCATTTGCTGAGAGAGACAGAGAAAAGGAAAGCGAGAAATCACCCCTCAGGGGTGATGGCCATGCCACAGTCCCTTCTCCTTTCTCCTCGTGGGATTTTGGGCAGGCACGCACATGCACTTGGTGTGATTTTCAGGCCCTTGAGTCCAGACTCAAACCATGGTTGGCCATGTGGGAGTTCAGCATCTGTACCTGCACACCACCTGCTGGGCCTCCTATATATTTTTAAAGGTTTTTAGAAAATAAAACGAAACAACAAAGAATGTGTAACAGAGACCATATGTGCCCTACAAAGCTAGTAAAGCTTAGTAAATATTTTTTTAAAAATTAATTTTATTTAACTTTATTTATTTATTTTTCTTTTTAAAATTTGATCAGAGAGGGACAGAGAGAGAGAAAGAGGGAGAAAGTGAGAAAGCCAGCCGCCAGGTCCAGGACCTGAACTGTGGTCGGCCATGTGGGAGTCCAGTGACCTTAACTACCATGCCATCTGCCAGCCACAGTAAATATTTTCAATTTACTAAGGGGTTCTTTTCAAAAAAGTGTGCTGACCCTTGTGTCAAATGGAAAACTGTTTTTGGTTGGTAGCATTTCAAAGCTTTTATCAAAACGTACTGACTGAAAAACACACTTTGTCATATTTACATTTTTTATCCAAGATGATATCAACATTTGGCTGGGCATTATCCAGATAAGCAGAGCAAGCTGATTTTAATTTTCATAGTTTTCCTTGATTTCCATTTCCCAAACAAAAATATGCAAGGAACATGCAAGTTCACATTTGAACATTTTGTACATAAAGTCTTATTTTAATGTCCTTGTGTTCTTTCAAAGCTGTCAGTAGACTTCTCATCTAAGTGATAACTTTGATAATGACACTGGATTCTAAAGTAGAATTCAATGCTTGATGCTAAAGGGTTAAGCTCATTTCTTCAGCCAGTGTTCTAGTGGATGAAAAAAGCCTCTACCACTTAAGGATGGGCATGGGGAAACTGAGCCTCGGGCCCAGATTTGGAGCTGTG